ATGAAGAGCTTCAAAAGTGATAAATAAATAAAACAGTTGTGACAGAGCTTTGGAATAATGAAAATTTTGAAAACTATGAAGTAGCTAAAACTGAAACTAAGAAATCATTTAGGGAGGCTAAATTGATATTTATAAACTTGCCAAAGATAAGAGAAAGAAAAGGAAAGAGACCTAAGGGTAAGGAAGATGAATGAGTGATAGTTAAGGAAGATACGATCAAGGAATGGTGGAGAAAAAATTGACCCTGTAACAATAGGCATCCTTTGTATTGTTGGTGCAATTAATAAAGGTTGGGATTTTTCCTGTAATTACTTGCTGCCTATTCGTACTTGTTATAACACTCTGTGTGTGTGTGTATTCATACTTGGCTGAGACTAAGTGTCCAACTTAGTGCCATTACAGGCTGGAATTTTTGAAACGAAAATTGACCCACCATCTAAAGAATCTTGGTGGTGGAATGAAGAGCTTCGAAAGTGATAAATAAATAAAACAGTTGTGACAGAGCTTTGGAATAATGAAAATTTTGAAAAATATGAAGTAGCTAAAACTGAAACTAAGAAATCATTTAGGGAGGCTAAATTGATATTTATAAACTTGCCAAAGATAAGAGAAAGAAAAGGAAAGAGACCTAAGGGTAAGGAAGATGAATGAGTGATAGTTAAGGAAGATACGATCAAGGAATGGTGGAGTTATTTTGAAAAGCTATTTAAATAAAGCCTTTTGAAAGAAACATAGACTTTAGAACTTGTTAATTTTAATAGTAATATTAATTATAGATTCCTTCCTGAGGTAAAGGAGGCTATGAGGAAGATTAAAGTAAGAAAAGCTATAGAACTAGATGGAATTGTCATTGAAGTTTGGGAGTGTTTGGGTGATGATGGAACATTTTGGTTGACCAATTTGTTTAATAAGATCTTGAATTCTAAGAAAATGGTTGATGAATGGATAAAAACACATTAGTTCCAACTGATAAGAACAAATGTGATATTCAAAGTTGCATCAATTTTGTGGTATTAAATTTATGAGTCATATAATGAAATTCTGGGAGGGAGCTATTGAGTGGAGATTAAGACATGAGACAATATCTTCAAAAATCAATTTGGTTTTATGCTTGAGAGATGTACCGTGGAAGCTATTTTCTACCTAATTTGAGACTAGTAGGGGGGCAGAAATAAGTAAATTTCTAAAAATGATAAAGTTCCTACCAAAGACCAACACCCAATCTTTACATTTTTTGTATTAGTTATGGATGAACTTTCTAGAAACACTCAAAGGGGATATTCCTTGATGAGAGAGTTTAGTTTATGAAACAAGAGGAGTAAATTTTAAGCTAGAATTGTGGAGAGATACTTCAGATTTTAAAAGGTTTAAGTATAAGACTAAGAATATGCAGTGTAATTTTAGCAAAAGTAGAAATAGATAGGGATGAAAGTAGAGTCACTACAAGAAAAGAGGGCAAAAAAGACGGAATTATTAGCGACGGCGTGATCCCCGTCGCAAAAAATGGTATTTTGCGACGGCAAAACAAACCGTCGCAAAAAAGTAGTTTTAGCGACGGCGTTTAACCGTCGGTAATAAACTGCACGGGCGAGAGAGGTTGAGGAGGCCGTGGCCCATAGAATTAGAGTGGAATGCATGAAATGGAATGCTTCAGAATTGTTGTGTGTTCGTATGATTACTATTAAGTTGAAGGTAAAATTTTATGAGATTGCTTTAAGGCTTGCTATGATGTGTAGTATTAAATACTGGGCTACCAAAAAAAATGGTCCATACAGTGAGTGTAGCTTAAATGAGAATACTGAGATGGATAAGAGGTGTTACAAGAAAAGAAAAATTACGAAATGAATTCCGTTAAGAAGTTAGAAGTGATACTAATTGAAACATAAGATGAGGAAAAGCAGTTTGAGATGATATGGTCGATAAGAAAGGATGACTATTTTAAAACTTAGTTAATACGATAGTGAATGGAACCAATTGGAGGGAAATGAATCTATATAGTAGGCCCTAAATAATTGGGATAAGTGACTTCTGATTTTTGAAAGAATTGCAGGGTCAATCTGACTGCCATCCCATTGGCTTTTCTTAATCGTTTTAGATTGAATTTTAAGCATAGCTACCAAGTGTAACTTAAATGACAACAGTCCAAAGCTAAATCCTGTCTTGGAAGTTACTACCAAGTTCCCCGAACTATAGTTTTTATGTGTTTCTGTATTAAAAATAGTTTGTTCTTTCTTCTTACTGGCTACAGAGCTGGTAGGTATTCATTTTTCAAGTACTAGATTCATTTCCCAAATTTTTGAAATCGAAATTACCCTGGTCTTTTTTGATAGTATGATCAGGAAAACATTTGTTTACAGATTAAACCTTACCATAGCCCCTATATATGCTGATGATTAAAATTTTGATGTTCCGTTCTTACTAATAATTTTGCATTTACAGGAACCTGATTCAGAAAAAGGCCTAACTTCTCGGAATGGCAGCTCATCAAAACAAGCTATCTCCACCAGCAGAACAACCTCATCTGGGGAACCCATTGAAGTGCGGTCAAGGCGGTTAACCTCAAGTGGTGGGCTTGGGTGCTTGTCTTCTACTTAAAGAATCCAACCTGGGGTGGAGCCGAAATCATTATCTTTTTCTCGTACTTTAATCATGAAGGGTACCCGTGATGACCCTCTTCGCAGCTTCGAGCTTCTCTCCTTGAGGAAGTAGTAGAAGGGGGTTGGATTTGTCATCAAATTGAGAAAAACCATTCTATTTGTTGAATCTTTAGCATTATCTCAGTCAGTGTATATACAACACAATTAAATGTCACTTTTTTTTTTTAAACAACATTTCAGTGTTTCTGCCAACCTAAGGAGATTGGGATGTATGGTCAAGTTGGTAGGGTCATGGTCCAGCCAGTTGTGGCCCTCGTGGGTTTGACACTAAACTAAAACCAACCTGCAGTGAATTATAGTAGCTATTGCAAATGCTAATTGTTCATGCATGCATAGAATGTCCTCTTGAGACCATTTGGTACCCTATTATTGTCATTATGGGGCTGTTAATGTTCAGCATTCTCTTTTAGGCTCTATTTGGGTAGATAAATTTTAAACAAAGAATGTTAATTTCACAAATGAAGATATTTGGCAATTATAGTTAAATTGAGAAATTAAGAGCATGTGCTCAAAAAAAAGGAAGGAAATTAAGAGCATTTGCAAGGGTGACGCCACATCTCAGGTGATAGATGGATATAATCTCATATGTGAAGACTTTGTTTGGATCTCAAATTTGATGGGAAAAAAAACTCAGGTTGCATTTGGTAGAGTTTTGTAAATATGATTTGAGAGTATGAGTTGTATTTTGAATTTGTGAGTTGTGAAATTATGACTTAAGTGTAGAAAATTTGTTTAGTTATGGTTTTTGAATAGTGTTGAATTGTGTGTGAAATTGAGTTTTGAAAGTTTAATTTGACATGTGAAGTAAGAAAATTTGTTTGGTTATGAGTTTTAGAAAGAGTTTTCAAAACTTAATTCAAATTATTATAACTCATAACAAAACACACTACTTTCACACTATTGAAAATTCTGATCAACACTCATAACCAAATTCTTTTTAAAATTCAATTAAAAAAATTATTATTAACCGAAAATAACATTAATCAATTTTTTTATTGAAAATATTACAAAGGAAATAATTTCTTTTCAAAATAAATATTCAAAAAATTTAAATCATAAATATTTAAATAATTTAAATATTAAAAAATTTAAAATAATTTAAAATGTTAATATTTTAAATTTAAAAACAACGCTACACTTAAATCGTAACCAAACACATAAAACAAAACTCAATTAAGAAATTATTTTTAAAACTCATAATTAAACACATAATTCGAAACTCCATACTACTTTCATAACTCTACACTCAAATCGTAACCAAATACATAACAAAAAAATTAAAATATTTAAAAATATTTTTATAAAATAGAGTTTGAATTTATTTTTATAAAATATTTAAAATTTTAAAAAATTAAAATCCTAATATTTTGAAATTAAAATATTTAAAAATATTCAAAAAATTAAAAAATTAAAAAATTAAAAAAATCGTAACATATTTAAATATTAAAATATTTAAAATTTTAACAAAATTAAAATATTTTAAAAATATTTAAATATTAAAATATTAAAATATTAAAATTGAGTTTTGAAAAGAATTTTGAATTATATATTTAGTTATGAGTTTTGAAAAGTAATGATTATGTTTTGAATTGAGTTTTGAGAAATGAATGTAAAATTATGATTTAAAAGCTCCAAACAAATAACACACTCAAATCAATGGGTAGAATTATATTTTGAAAGGCTTACCAAACGGAGCCTCAGTACTTCATTTCTCTTTTCCCTTCGTATTGAACCCAACATTGAAAGTCAACTATCCTGCGTGCTGCTTCAATCAAGGATAGAAACCCAACATTTACTTGTGTTTGATACATTAAAACTTACGTAAAAAATTAGAGTAGAACACATTTTAAAACTCATTATTTTATGAAAAATTATACTTCTTAAAATTCGACAAGATAGAACAAATTAAGTAAAAATACATTATACTAGTTTTCAAACAAAGTTTGGACAACTTAATGCTCAGCTTGTTTACAACCCTACTTGACTAGAATTGATGACATAAATGTACTCGGTTGGTTTATGGTGCAGGGTGGTTCAATCAATCATTGATTCCGGCCAGTCGTGGCCCTCGTGGGTTTGACACTAAACTAAAACCAACCTGGACCGGACCACAACCCTACCAACTTGACCATCCAACTTAATCAAGCTGCATCAAAAAACAAATGAAACAGCCTATATTTTTTGGGGATGCATCATGACAAAACTGGCTTACAAAATGTGAAGGTCAGTCAGTTTCCATCCCAGAGGCCACCTACAAAAAATTTGGTAATCAAATGCAACTATACTACTACGAGCATACACAATCTGACATTAAAACAGAATAATGCAAACATTGATTCTTAATGGTGAGTCAAAGATCACAAATTAGACAAGGTCTCAAAATAACACTAATAATTTCAAATGGAGTTTGACAATATTAATAAAAACAAAAAAAAAAAAACTGCCGGGGGTCTCTCTTCCTGTGATTAATCCATAAACTAACAAAAATAAACCTGAAATGCAGATGCCAACACAGCTGGCAAAAACCTACGACACAATCTCCAGAGAAGAAGGGAATAGATATTAGGCTGTGCTCTGCTTCTTAAGCTTTGCAAGTTCCTGCCTGACAACTCCAGCTTTCTGCCGTCACATTAATAAAAACACATCAAACTCTCATAAAAACAAAAGGCTCCAAAGTCCAGCTACTTCTGTGTAATATATGAGATTATAGATATTTTCTTTACTTCATTCATGAAGATTACACGGGTGTAATATATGAGATTATAGATATTTTCTTTACTTCATTCATGAAGATTACACGGGTGTAATTTCTAACCAACCCTAGTTTATGCATCAACAACACAACTTTAGTAGAACATGCCCTAAAAGATTCTGGAGTCAAGTAACCAACTAGGCAGGTAATAAAAAGAAAGTTGGCAGTTCCTTCCAGTAGTTTTAATGTAATCAAAGAAAAAAGAAAAGAAAAAAACAAGAGGTTGCTTAGAACATTCCCAGTTCCTCAAAACCATTAAATAACTAAGTTGAGAAGAAATGCCAGATACAATTTCAAAAGTATAGTCCAAACCTTGATTTTTGCAAGCATTAGTTTGAACCTATCAAAATCATTAAGAGAAGCCCTTCTCTTCTGCACAATAAGCTTCCTGCCCCAAGAACTGTTCTCCCATTTGTTCTTGACATCTGTCATAAGAGGTTAGGAGTTCAATTTCAGAATCATGCAGACAGCAGAGAAAGTGTACATTCAGCTGTTTTGTACTCACCAGCAGCATCCATGGCTGCAACCAGAGTCTTCTTCTTTGGAACCCTTTTAATGTCAATCGTGATATCGGTGAGTGAAAGCCTCTTGAAATTCATTTGGGTACGCACCATATCAGGGGCATCTACAAGAGCCTGCACATGGGAAAAAGGCTTAGGGCTGGTTTGGCATATACTGAAAAGATAAAAAGTCAAAAAATTATTAAAAAAATTAAAAACTTATCACTATTCACCAAAAAAATATATATAAAAAAAACAAATTACACAAGCGCCAAGTACAAGCATACACAGTGGTGAAGTGATGGCCAAGTACAAGCCATACATATTGAAGTGATGGTCAGTGGTACAAATTTACAACGCGGGGTGCACAAAAAAATTAACCTGGAATGGTGCTATTCAGCCTGTGGGGGCCCATCACGGGTCTCATTTTGATAATCTGAACCGTTTCAATGTGTATAACTCGTCGAGTACTATGTGCTTGTAAAAAATCATGTTGATCGGATATTTCTAACTACATGATCAAATCAGTTTTGTATAAAAAAATGGATGGTGTTATAGTTAACAGTTGACAAAAAATTAATCCGATCAGATAGCTATCGATATCCGATCAATGTGATTTTTTACAAGCATATAGCTACACATTGAACGATTTCGATTAGCAAAACGGGACCCGTGGTGGGCCCCCCACAGGCCGAACAGCACCGTCCAATTCAATGCCCGAAAAGGAGACAAGCATCTCCTATACAAACCGTGCTGCCTACAATGCACAAACTTCTCCTATGCACTAATTTATACAATTTTTTAATATACATTTTTTCGTAAAAAGTCAAAAAGTTAACCCAAACAATCATTTTTTTTCCCCCGCAACTTTTTAGTCCAAAAAGTCAAAAAATACACTTATTTAGGACATTCCAAACAACCCTTAGATAAAATGGCAAAATCCATTTATATCCGGGAGGCAGTAAATGCATCCTCGAACAACCTAACTTATTCACAAAAAATTAATGAGTAACGTATGCATTGTCAAAATGTTAAAGAGTGAACACAGAGAAAAATGTAGTGTATGTACCTACAATAAGCCACCTCAAATGACAACTCCATTTGGTTTTCAAGAGGAATGAGAAAGGTCAGAAAAAACAGATTTTTTTTTTTTGGTTTTGGGGGGGGGGGGAAAAAAAAAAAAAAAAAAAAAAAAAAAAAAAAAAAAAAAAAAAAAAAATATAATATGTTAACACTTCTTCTTTACTTCCGGCTGCAAGAGCTTCGTGATATACATTTTCTTTGCTGTCCTTGTTAGTGCAGCGACCCCTCTCACGGAATTCACCCCATTCCGTGTAGTCCCCGTGTTTGGAGATGTAGGGGGGGAATAAATAAAGACAACTGATAAATAAATAAATAAAAATAAAAACTGATATGCAATGAATTAAAAGGAATATTGGTATGTAATGAAATTAGACAACAAAACTTCCTAACTAATGGTTTTTAGCTAAAATGGTTGCAAACACAACAAACCATGCCCAAATTAAAGATAAAATATACACCATACTCTTGCATACATCCTCAGGTAAAGCCCCAAGACTAGAATTTACCTACATTTGCAAGACTAGTTGAATGGTAGCAAATGTGACCATTCAATTAGCAGAGTAGACATGGACCAAGCATATAGCATACAACAATTTTTACTTTTCTTTTACCCCCTAATTTGGCCAGGTTGTGGGATCTAAAATCAAGAGAATCTAACACTGCAAACTCCAAAATATATGTAGCACACGTAGGATATGTAGGGTTTTAACAAGTAGCAGTACTAGACATCAATTTTTACCATTGTTTAAGACAACATCTAGTAGATCCGGCGTTTCCGGCCGAAGTTATTTTAAGAGAAAATGTAGTTATTACAAAAAAAAACGATTCACGTCCAAATCGTTTTGTGATTCCATTTGGAGGATTGACGATTTTCGCCCATATGATGAGCCTCATTTTTTCCATTTCGATTTGCCGGAGGTTGGTACTGAAAAGGATGAACGACTTGGTCGAAAATTGAAGTTGTTAGGACTCTACCTCCAGGGTGTAGTTTTACGCCAAACTGGTGGTCTCTCTGAAATTGCCGCCGATACGCCTGGGCTCGAAAGCGACATGCGCGACGCTCCTACTCAGACTGTGGAGTTTGATCCGTTTGGTATACTTGACAATGGGCAATGTGAATTTGTCGTTGTGTTGGACCGTTTTCCTAATCCTGTGTATATGCCTAAGTTTGAAGATGTTTTACAGTGGTCCAGTGGTGACCCACGAACTGGTTGTATGGTCAGGGGCACGGAAATAGATCGTTTTGTTGTATTTCGGCGTGTCTCTGTTTTAATGCCGTTGCAATTGACTGAATATTCAGTCGTTAGCTGTCAAGGCGTGAAAACATTTATCAACATCGGAAAGAATGTTGTATCCGAATTTCGAGATAGTTTTGGTGTGCTAAACGATGCGTATAATAATATTGTAAAAAACGCAATTATTTGTTATTTTGTATGGGAATGTCGCACAAAATCGTTCGTAAGGGCGCATTTGAATTGTAGATTGAAATATTGTTATTAATAAAATAATTTATTACAACGTATTTTACATCGGCCTCCGTTGTACATTTATTTTTTGGGCTGATATGGACCCTTCGACTGCGGCCTTTACAGCTTCTGCTACTAATTTGGATGCCTCATCTGTAGTGAGCCTTAATGATTCGGAATTATTGGATCCGGCCTCACTTACAGATGGGCCTATGTCGACTGGTCTGCTAAGCTGGGTGTTGGGCCCAGTGTTGATTAATAATGGGCCGTGTGTAGGCATAGTCATGTCGCGGCGACTAAATAATTCAGGCCCATCTCGAATTGAACTTGCTGACAACCGTGCAACCATTATCCTTTGGGCCGAAGAACCGTATTGGCTTATTGGTGCTGATAATGTCATTGTCGATTGAAAACGTGATTCAGAATTACAACGTGTTAGTCTTGCCTTTGTCACGCTGCGTGCCACGTGCCAAATATCCACGCGGTGGTTGTTGAATACTTTGGACAAAACATTTATTAATGGTGGTCAATACGTTATTTCATCTGGGAAAGACGATGTTTGAAAGGCCAAAGTGGCTTTCATTTTGCAATATCTGACATTGTCGTTGATGTTTGTTTGTATCAATTTGTACGACGCTGCCCATAGGCATCCTTTTTTATCTGCGGCAGCATATGCGTTTCCAAAATATGTGATGTCTACTGAGCATGTAACTGGAAAAGTAAATCGAGCCTGTAATTGATCGTTCGCCTGTAATCATGTGTCCTGTATTTCTACTTCGATGCGACCGGTTGAATTAAATGGACACTGTGGTCTGTAGCTTAGTTTGCATTTGTCAATTATCATTGACTTGAATGTGAGCTTCTGCCACATTGCATCGTCTATCTTCGGATTGGTTATTGATATATTGGATACCGGTAAGTTCGATGTCACGTCTATTATGTCGATTTCTAATTCACCTTCTTCATTTTCATGGAGCTCATCTGTCAATCCGGCGGGGTTGATTTCCTCTGACATAATGATTTTAGAATGTTGTTAGTGCAGCGGCCTCTCTGAATTGTCAAACACACAATTCGTCTATGAATGCGGACTGTATAATTCATATCGATATATAAAGGTTAAGTGCATAGAGTTGGGAGAATAATTAATCTAAAACGACGTCGCATTGAGGCCATAACTCACTCTCAATGACGTCACTTACTCTCTCTGGTGACGCAAGTCACTCTCTGAAAACTTTCCTGGTAGAAGAGAGTGAGGGAGTGACTTATATATGATCCCAGGAGCGTCCCTTAATATTACTGGGACCCCCCCCCCCCCCGCGCCACGTGTCGTCCCCTGATTGGTGCGTCCTTCCGCATTTGGTACCGTGTTGTCGGCTATAGGGCTCCGCTCCACTCCCAGATCTGCAACCAGGATTAAAAGATTTAAAAAGGCAAGCGCAAACGGGAAATTTGAATTCAAATGATGGGTTCATACGTATGGCCCACGAGTTGCCTCCTTTTTGCATCCTTTGCCATATGTTATTATGGGTCGTAAAATTATTTCGTGGCATACGGTATATACGTACACGGTTTTAATGTCTATTATGCCGTCTATTTTACAAATTAATAACTGTTAACGTTGACCCACATCACGGTCAACATATTACGCCTATAAAATAAAATCGATGTGATGCATTTAATGGTCAGAGTTTCACCATCGATTATGGCGACTACGTTCCGATTTTCGCAACAGCGTCCATACACCCCAAGAACAAAATTAAATTTTAGTCGCCGTTGGACAACATCCAGTAGATCCGGTGTTTCCGGCCGAAGTTATTTTAAGCGAAAATGTAGTCATTACAAAAAAAAACGATTCACGTCCAAATCGTTTTGTGATTCCATTTGGAGGATTGACAATTTTTGCCCATATGATGAGCCTTATTTTTTCCATTTCGATTTGCCGGAGGTCGGTATTGAAAAGGATGAATGACTTGGTCGAAAATTGAAGTTGTTAGGACTCTACATCCAGGGTGTAGTTTTACGCCAAACTGGTGGTCTCTCTGAAATTGCCACCGATACGCCTGGGCTCGAAAGCGACATGCGTGACGCTCCTACTCAAACTATGGAGTTTGATCCGTCTGGTATAAAATAAAATCGATGTGATGCATTTAATGATCGGAGTTTCACCATCGATTATGGCGACTACGTTCTAATTTTCGCAACAGCGTCCATACACCCTAAGAACAAAATTAAATTTTAGTCGCCGTTGGACAACATCCAATAGATCCGGTGTTTCCGGCCTAAGTTATTTTAAGCGAAAATGTAGTTATTGTAAAAAGCCTCGTCATTGTGGTCCCTCAAATCGATGTGACCGGAATAATAATTATGCGGCCCCAAAGACCGGGCCCAACATGTTTTTCCAATTCTAGATGTGCCTTCAATTCTAGAAGCTCACAGAATACACCCCATACTGTATCTGTAAATTGATGAACATACGGCAATGGTGGAGTAAATGAAATCCTGTCGTAATTGGGTGACAACTTGTCATAATTTAGCCAGAAACAATTTGGATTGCCATTTCTTACCAGTGCCAATGCTTCTTTACTT